TCGGAAAACAGTGGCCATTTTCTCTCTTCAGAGCAATAGCTGTGTTCCTTGTTTGCAAGAAACTGTCTGAAAAGGATGGGAAGGGGTGGCGGATTTATATTTTCGCAATAAGCTATACAGAAAACGTCTCAAAAAGTGGGAGGCAAGGCAGAAATAAGTTACAGTAACTTTTGAAGAACTGGACATTTTCTATTGCGAAAAAAAAAAAAAAAAAAAAAAAAAAAAAAAGAAAGCCAAAAAACCAAACAGCACAGAAACACCCCGCCTGTAGAAACCTAGCGTGTTTCCCGGTGCCATCTGAGCATGTGGCGCGGAGGGGTGAGCAGTGCCCCTGCGCTTGGCCGCAGCCTCCCGCTCCCGCTGCCCCGTCGGGCGGCCCGCGCCGCCCCCGCGGCCCCGCTCCCGCTCTCCTACCTGGGCCGGGCGCTCCCGCGGCGCCTCCGCCGCAGGACCAGCTGCAGGGCAAGGCGCCGCGGCCAGCGCCGCCCCAGCGCCCCGAGAAGGCGGCGGAGGATGCGCCAGCCCAGCGCCCAGGCCCGGGGCCGGCTGCGGGCGCGCCGAAAGTGGATGGTGCACCTTATCCGCGCGGTCATGGGTGCGGGGAAGCCGCGGGCCCGTCACGCTACAAATACGTCCCCAGAGGGGCCCCACCGGTGAATCGGCCCTCTCAGCCTCCATTCATTGGAGAAGATTTTATTTATCTCTTTTTTATTCGTTCATTTTTTTTTCTTTTCCGTTTAACTAATTTCGACTCCCCATTTCGCTTCACACCCCCTCCGCTCTCTTCCCTCCCCTACACCCCGCTCTAAACTCCTCCCACGATGATGGCTCCCGCCTCGAAAAGCGGGCAAAGGAAGATTGGGGGGGGGGGGGGGGGGGAGAGGGAGGGAGTAGATAGCCGGGGAAGAGCACCGCCACCAGACGGGCGTGGGGACCGGCCAATCGCAGGGCGCTCCGAGGCTTTCAAATAAAGCCTTGACGACATCTCCTCGCCCTCCCCCCGCTCTGTCCCTCCAAACACACCGCCTCCCGCTCCGTTTGGGTTTTTTTCTTGCTGTTCCGTTGCTCCCGGGCCGCACTCCCCCCGGGAAAACCCCGACGGGAAGGGGGCCTGCGGCGGCCCGGAGCGCCGCGCTGGCACTCGCGAGAGCCGGCTAGCGGATCGCTGCCGCTCTGAGAGCGCGGGCCACCGCTGGCCCGGGCCAGCAGCTATTTCCTTGTCACATGGCCATTTGAACGCGACGCGGGAGCGCTGCGCAGCACAGCGGGGGCGGGGGGGGCGCCGGGAGGGGGGAGAGGAAAGAAAAGAGGATCTCTATGTCCCCGCGCCGGTCACCGAAACGGGTAATGAACGGCTCCCGCCCAGCCCCGGGCCTTCTCCGTTGCCGTGCTCCGCGGTGTCGGGCCTCTTCGCTTTCCTTTTGAAGGGTGAGGTTTTGGAGCGGGGTGGGGGGAGCAGCGGAGGGTCGCTGAGAAGCCCCAGGCACCTGCTGGGGCCCCGCTGCCCACCCGGCTCCAGGAAGCACCGGTGAGCTGCCGAGACCCGCGACAGCGGGTGCTGAGCCAGCTCTGCCGCCCTGGGCGGTGGAGGGCTTACTGCTACCTCCCCGTCCCACTCCCCAGCCCAAGAATCCTTCTGCTGCGCTGCCCCCCTCCCTGGGGCGGGGTACCTCCGTGAGAAGAGCGATGGGCAGGGAAAGCGTAATTTCTGCTGGCGGGGCCCGGCTCGGATGGTCACGGCTAGAGGCGGCGGGGAGAGGGATCGGGGCAGCTCCGGGACTGCGCGGAGCCGCGGGAAAGGCGCCAGGTGGGGACGCAGAGCGGCAGCCCCTGGGAGGGGAGGGATGGTGAACAGAAGAGTGTGCAACACCCTCTCACAACAAACACCTCCTTCTCTCGGGTGGGCAAAAAGTCGAAATGTCAACAGAAGTTTTCTCCTGCCTCGGCTCGGAGTAACCCTAACAACAATGCTGATAAGGAAAAGCCTGTAATCGTTTCTTTTCAAATCCGATTTCAAGCCTGGGAAACAGGATGAGCAAAATCGGAATCGGCCATTTCGAAATGAAAGCACCTTTCGAGAGAAGCTTTTTTTTTTTCCCTCCCCCCGTTATTTTTTCCTCCTCTTCTCCCCTGCGATGACTTCTGCTTCCTGACCGGCAAGGCAAAATTCAGAGAAAAATGAATGCCTACCTGGCTGTGGGATGCAGGTGCCGGAGCAGTGGTGAAAGGACGAACCGACAGCTTTGGCAATAGAAACCGAATACCCACCAACGCTGAATGCATGGCCGATCTGGGGCTCGTCGTGCACGGGGTGCAAACCCTGGTGCAGAAGGGTGTAGGTGTGCTCACACATGTACTCGGTCACAGCGACAATATTAAAAATAAATATTGCCAATACACTGCCATCCTAAAAATAATGCTTTTAGGGCTTTCTTGATAAAGTGTACTGCTGATGCTGTTGTTGTTAATTGTTACTATTCTTCTTTTCAAGGAGGACTCCAAGCCCTGGAGCTGCCGCTGCTGCCAGAAGAAAAGGTGTCCCTGGAAGCTCCTGCAGCCAAGTGGGACCTCGCCGGTGATCCCCATCCCTCCATGGAGTGAGTATTCCCCACCATGTGTCTGTCTTGGGAAGGGGCTCTGGACCTACTCCGTGAGGCAGATTTATAACAATTAGCTATTTAACCTTGCTGAGTTTTGAGGGCATACTCTGCTTATTTGGTGCGGTCAGCCTAGCAAATTGTGCTGTTTCCCTGCTAGCTTTATAGACAGTAACAGCAGTTACATAATATTACTATTTTAGTCGTTGTAGTTTCATAAGCCGTAATGGAAATGCTAAAAAATTGAAATAAAATCTGGTTCTTGGCGAAAATGACGGTTTAAAACAGGAATACAGGTCCAATTGACGATGGAAGTACAGTTTAACAGAACCTTACTGTTCTGTAAGGAATGTGGTCAGGCTCTAGCTTTCCCCCATCTCCACATCTGGTCGCAGCTCCTCCATTCTGGTTCCCACAGGCATGGGATGCAGGCACATAACTGCTACATCCCCAGTGTTGTCCTTGGTTCAGCTATACCATGATCTAGGGCAGAGTGCAGCGCAAATTAATAAGGTATTATAATAACATATGTTGTTATTATAAAGTTACATGTTTTCTATTTACAGATATTTACAAAATACATGTTTTAGGCATTCTTATAATGAAAAAGTGTGAATATGGACTAAAGATAACATAAATGTTTTGTACATGTTTTATATATGTAAAATTTCGTTATAATTAAACCAAGAAGCATAATTAAACAACTAAGCATATTACATAGAAAAATAATTAATAAATATATCACGTTGATGCATAATCATAACGTTTTATATATGTGTGTTCTCTATGTGTATCGTGTATATTCTATATAGATATTACATAGATGTATTATATACGTGAATGACATAACTAAATATTTTAAAGCATGACAACACATACGAAGTAATTATAAAACAGGCATTGTATGAAATTACATTATAATAAACATGTTACAAAAAAGGTATATACATTATTTTTCATGTTTCTACATGAGATACCTAGGGGTTGGATACTCAGTAGGAATGCAAAACCAAGATAAATCTTTTTCACCTTTTCTACAGGTAGCTCTGCAAAGTGCCCAGTAATAGCGCTGGGGTACGACACCTGAACTCTGTCACTGCCTTGCCCGGCTTCCCTTTCTCAGCCGCTGAGGCGCAGGACGTGTGAGCACAGCCCCACTTGGGTTCCTTGGAGGGAGGCAGGGTCTATCGCTTGTCTCGCCCCGGCTGGGAGCGGCGTGCCTGCCTCCCCGCCCGGCTCGCTGCTGTCTGTGCGTTCCCCCACAGCTCTCTGGGGGCTTGGGGACTCGCTGCCGTGACATCGGCTCTGCCCGCCTCCTCCTTGCACCTCGGCCGAGCCTGGGCTGCCGCTCTATCTTTTTCCTTTTCGTATCCAACTCCCCCGCGCCGAAGCAGCCCGTGAAACATGTATCGGCTGTCATAGAAATAACAGATTGCCCCCTCCTCGTTCCCCTGCCAGCAGCAGAGCTGTTTCGAAGGTTTCCTTGTTTCCTCACCGAATGTGTCACCTCCGGGCATCTTGGGAAGCGCTGGAGTTGAGCTCAGATGTATGATTTTTTTATTTTCGTTAATGGCTGCCTTGGTTTCACAATCACGTGATTTTTTTAGAAGTACTTTAACTCAGAAGAGGTCACTTGCAAATTGTTAAAACAACGAGGATACTTCAACTGAGGATACATATCGTATCAGGCTTGCAGGCACACAAATTTCTTTTTATTTTCTCTTTCCAGCTCCTATAGTTGCAGCCTACACAAGGAAAGCTAAAATGTGTAGCTGTGAGTACGTGTACAGACATGCACAGCATCCTACGTGCTTTTAATAAGGTATTTACCAAAGCTGCAATCACACCAGGAAACGTTTGCCAGAGAAAGGCAGATTGGCTTCGGCACCCCTTCAGATTGCTTTAACCAAAATCAAACAGGGAGCTGTCAGGTCAGGGAGACCCTGAAACCTCCCCCATCTTCTTCAGATGGAGGGCTAGCAAGCGTGAGCGGGGAGCCACCGGGAGCAGAAAGTCCAGACGCAGCCCCATCAAAACAGAGGAAGGGTTCCTTCCCTTCTCTGTGTGGTAGAGAATTTTCATTCATATTTAATATTCAATATCTGCTGTTTAATATTTTCACATTTAGAATTTTCTCTCTTCATATTTCATACTTCCTACTTAATATTTCATATTTCTCTTCAGTGTTTGGACTCTTGTGTGAAAAAAGGGGCCCGGGGACGGCCATAGCATTTCCAGTGCAGGATAATATACAGTCATGAGCAAAGAATATTGTCCTTCTTGCATCCAGCAGGGAAACGCGACCCGGGGTTATTCACAACATCACATGAGTGCTGTTCCACTTGGTGTCCCCCGAGTTGGGCGCGGGCAGTAAGTTTGGGGGGGGGATGGCCCGGGGAGAGGTTAGGCACAGGCCGGAGGGTCGCGCAGGTACCGCCCCACGGCTCCGTGCGGGCCCCCCGCCGCCACGTCGAGGGGCAGGCGGCCGCGGCCGTCGGGGAGGTCGAGGCGCGCCCCGGCCCGGTGCAGCGCCGCCAGCGTGCCCAGAAAGCCGGCGCGGGCCGCGTCGTGCGCCGGGAGGCAGCCGGTGCGCGGGTCGGCGCGGTTGGGGTCGGCTCCGTGCCGCAGCAGCAGCTCGGCCACTGGCGGGCTGCTCAGCATCATCACCTGTGGGGAGAGACAGCGTCAGTGCCCGCCACAGAGCTCAGGCTTTCTCGCTCGGCCCGGAAGGAATGGAGATCCACAATGGAAAGGAGAAGAAAATCCGCCAGCGAGGCGTAAAGATCGGCTCTGGACGTGCCACCAACGGTGGAGAACACGTACCCGTCGGGGGAGTTGTGCCGCATTGGAAAACTCTCCTTTACCCACGCCAGGGGACAGGAGAGAACAGGTGGGGCAGAGAGGTGCGGGACTCCTGTCGGATGCGGGACTCCTGTTGGGGCGTGTGGACGCACACTGGGGTTGCTCCGCGACAGGAGCGGGAATTCGGTAGCCTCGGAGCAGACGAACCGGGGGAAGGGGCTCGCCCAGAGAGCGCTCCCAGAGAAATCCAGGTCAAGTCGTGAGTCGCCTTGCACCGGTCCCCGTGGAACCGTGCCGGTGCAGCGGCGCGCGGGGGCCGCCGTCGTTCTGCTGGCATCGTGACACTTCCCTAGAGTGTCCTTGGCAAGGGGGCCGCGCAATGCAGGGAACCCACCGCGTCTTCCCTCACCGTCACGACGGAAAGAACCTTTAGCCTCACCCGCGTGTCCAGGGCAGTACGAACGTGCCCGGCAGCCCTCCCCATCGGCCTCGCCGTTTTCTTAGCTGGGCTTCCCTAGCGCACCCAGCAGTGCGTTCAGCACAAGGGATAAGTCCCTGCCGCGAAGACTGGGGGAAAAAAATCCCCAGAACAAAAAAAGAAAAAGCACTGCAGGACGGCAACAAATACCTGTTTCGAGTGAAATGCTCCACCGACATTTTGAATCGGAGAGTGTTTTGCAAGCACTGGCAGCAAAACTTAAATATAGCTTCTCAGATTAGTCCAGTTTCGTTTTACTTTGAAATTTTAAGAAAAAAGCTGTCTAGAACTACCTCGGAAACGAACTCAGCCTTTATAAAGGTAACCTCTACCACACCTCCGGGCACTACATCTACCCACACGTTCAGGGGAGTGTAAAACGTGGGCAGACTGAGCCCCACAGGGATTGCTCGTTGTCTACCTGCAGCGTCACCTGGGCAAGGTTATCGCGACCGGGTATTTCTGTTCGTGAGAGCCGCCGAATATATTTTTTTCTTTTTTCCACAGGAGAGGAGACAAAACATACAGTCATATAAAGCAGAAGACGAGGTATAACGAAAGAGAGATTATTTCTACAAACGTGACTTGTTACATTTTATTGCACGTTTATTGCGAGATAAGCATTAAAGTTCTCGGATTTGAGTCATCCTGTCTCAGTTGGTTCAAATAAAGTAAAGGGTTGCTAAGAGTAAAACCTCCCTGTTGCGGCCGTCACCGCAAAGAAGACTTTCTCGTTCCCAGAGAGCCGAGAAAAACCCCTGTGCCGCACCACCTCGACAGCGGCCGAGCACAGTGACGGGGGACGGCCGCTTCCGGGGCACCGGAGGGCCCGGGGCTGCCGCCGCCCCCTCGGGCAGGGCATGGGGGGCCGCTGCCCTCGCCCAGCTGCAAACATTCCGCCTACCTGTATGGGGGTCCTGCCGCAGGAGTTGGCGGCGCTGGGGTTGACCGCTCCGTCCAGCAGCTCCCGGAGGCGCTGCGGGTCCCCGCGAGCGGCGGCGCTGGCCCGCTCATCCGCCGCCGCGTCCCGGGCCGCCGCACCCCGCACGGCGCCGCAGACGCCACTCAGCCGCCCCGCGCTGCCCGGGGCTGGCGGCGATCCCACGGGAATCGAGCCCATGGGAACGCCTATGGGAACGCCCGGCCCCGCCCCTGGCGGCCGTCCCAGTCCGGAGGTTCCCGCGCGGTGCTGTCACCGAGGCCGCCTCCACCTGCCAGGATGCGGCGGGGGCTCCCGGCTCCCGTTTTGTTCCCCCAGCTGGTGCCGCCCGGCCCATCTCGGTGTCTTCACTGGCCTCACCCTGACGGGGCGGAGCGACTGCGCAGCTCTTCGGCGACAGAGAGGGCCGGGCTCTCTCCTCTTTTATGTTCGTCTATTATTTTATTCTCCTGAGGGCAGCAGCGTCTACACCAGTGCCTGACCGCCACGAGGGAAGCAGGGATAGGGGAAGGGGAGGAGCAAAAGTAGCAAAAAACTTTACGAGAGCGGGACATAAGAAGAGCGGCCCCGAGACCGCGGCCTAATGTCCGCAGGGCCCCGGCCCCCCGGCGCTGCCCCCTCGCCATCTCGGGACACCCATCGGCACCCGAGGCGCAGAAGGCGGAGGTGACCTCCCCTCCTTCCCTTCCCCTGGGTGAGCTGCGAGCTCCTGTCTCGGCTTTTTTAGTTGGCAGGGACACTTGGAAAGACAGCGAGTTCAGCGGTGCCCACAGTCTTCACTGAGACACGAATCGCGGCTGCGACGTCTTCACCCCACCGCCTAAATAGCCCTTTTCTTATTCTCTTTTTTTTTTTTTTTTTCCTTTCTTCTTCTTCTACTTTTTTTTTTTCCCCCTTAAAGAACTAACAAGCCAAACAAAGGCCTCTGGGAACAAGCGCGCTGCGCGCCGTCAGGGCAGGGTTCAGCTCCCGCCCCCCGGCGGGGCGGGCGGGCCGGGCCGGGGCGGAGCGCTCGGGCGGGCGGTGCCGGCAGCACCAGGGACAGCTCCCGCCGCCGCCGGCCGCCGCGCTGCCCCTCCTCGCTCCGCGGCACCCCGCCTCCGGGCCTGTCCCTGAGCGCGGCCTTCTAAACGCCCCGCATGTGCGCGCGAGCCCAGTGCGATGTCGGGCCGCGTCCGGCACCTTCCTAAAACTGTAGCGGCCTAGTGCCAAATTCTTCTTCATCGTTATACTTTGCTCAGAAGTGAGGGAAGTTTCACTCGCAATAAAGAGCTTCTTGATATAAAGTGTTGCTTCTGGTAAAATACCTGAGCATTTAAGCACGGTCTGGCGATTTCCTTGTGTTTGAGTTTGGCTTTTTGGTTGGTTGGTTGGTTTGGCTTGGTTTTTTTTTTTTTTCTCTCTTTACTAATGAGTTTTCCATTCAAGTACTGGATGCCATACAAATGTGAAAATAATGATATTTCAGAACTCCATATTATATAAAAGGAAACAAATGGAATAGTTTAATCTATACACCCTAGTATGTAGATCACTGCATGATGGAAACACCCAAGCTGTGAGCAGTATAGTTAAACCTTGGAAACACTGCAAGATGATCTTTGCAGCAGCAGCAGTAAAGAGCAATATTATACAATCAGTTTCACAGAGATAGTGTATTGATCCTGATTCTCACCTACAGGACAAACAATAAAGGAAAAGGATTCTGACAAGGCTTTGATGCCAGTGATATATCCATAAGGTAAAAAAAATTGGTTCGCGTGTACTGGAATTGTGTGAAAGATTTAGGTGAGGCACTTTATTTTAATTAAAAAAAAAAAGGATGAAAATTACATCTAAAGAAAGATAAGCTTTCTACTTATTTGTTTAACTTGTTTTTCCACTGGTCTGTTTAACTATGTGGTAAATAAGATAACCAAAATATTCCTTTGCACTGCATTCAGAAAAGGGCAGCATTTCCTACCAACCTCATTAAGTACCACTGTCAAATATATATAATGACAAATTAAGGACTCCTCCATAATTTTTCCTGCAGATCAGAAAAACCCACACTGTGTCATTAAGGAAGACTTCCCTCCAGCAAATTCGTAAATTTTTCCTTCTCCCTTTTGCAAATTCATAAATATTCATTTTCCTGACCAAGAAAGGAAACCCTGTCCATTAGCAAAAAATTAGATATTTTAGCTGGAAACTGCTTGCCTTGGAGCTGGAATCTCAGACAGAGTTTTCCTTTTGTTCTGAATATGCATTTACTGTCTGAAGGACAATTTCACTGTCCTGTAGATGGTAGCTTTAAAGAAGCTGCTACACAGTTGGAAGTGATATCTTCCTGTTTCAAAGTTAATATTGGAAAGGTAAATTGTACAATCATGACCTCAAAAAAATCCTTTAGGGAGGCATCACACCTTTCTGTGCTGCAAGGTTATTAATTATGTATATGGAGAGTGACAAAATGCCAAATAAATACAAATCTCTTGGCAACTAGAAAGATCGTGCAAGCACTGCAACAATACAAATTTCTACAATCAAAAAGAGGAAAGAGACACCTTGAGAGATTCAAGAAGATGCTCATTAGTACGAATAATGTGTTATCAACTTAGTATTGCTCAAAAACACCAAACTAATTTTTCCTGCTGAGGAAAAAAATTATTGGCAGTTTGTCCCACATATATTTTCTTCTAACTGACACCTTTTAAGTAGTTACATTTGGAATAGAAGGCTCTGTTTTTCCCTTAGCTGGGTCTCTTTCTCTAGGAAGTGGGAAAATAGACAACACTAACTTTCCTTTTCTGGATCAAAAGAAATATGCAAATAAGCCAGAAAAGAAAAACATCCTGTTTTACACTTCTTTCAAGCAGAAGTATAAAATCACTAACTCTAATTTAGTTTGTCTCTTTGTTACGGTATTGACAGTATTTTGGAAGTTTATTTTCTCTTTCTTACACAGTTGTTCTTAATGTTCTTTTTGTTGTTCTATATTATTTCAAAGGAAGTGGACATCAGCACTACAAAACACTGCATGGAGACCCTTTTGGAAATTTTATGGCTATTTGCCCAACTGTATTTGCAGTGAGACTTCTGTTTGCACTATTACTGAAATTGTAAGTTTCACAGATGAAAGGTTTTTTTTCAAATTTACCTTGAAGCTTGCTCCCACATTTACTTATCATGTTGGATATGTCCTTTGCTTTCTTGTGGCTCTTTGATAAAATATTCTCCCAGGATAGCCTAATCAGTGATAGAAAAAGGAATCTTTTTCTATCAGAAAAAGCAACAGCAACAAAACCAATGGTACCCTCCCACCCCCCAAAAAAACAAACAGAAAACCCCTAAAAACACCCAACAAAAACATCAACACAAACAAACAAATGCAACCAAACACTCCAACTAAACCAAACCAAACCAAACCAAACCAAACCAAACAAAAAACCTGAATCACTTTCTTATGTTGAAGAACTGTAAGCTACCAAAACACCAAAACCAGATGCTAGCCAGCTACCTTGTCTGTAAACTATCTCTTGTTTTTGAGAGTAAGGTTTTTTCTCTACCTTGGAGAATTCCCTGATGCACGGATGTCACAATGGTTTGGTCCCATGGTTTGTACTAAGGAAATCCTGATAAACCACAACACCAAGAACTGTGCTATCTAGATTTAGGTTTTTAATTTATTTTTTTCCTTTTTTAACTTTCATTTTATATGCCTTCACATTCAGAGATTCAGCTGGCTGCAGCGAAAGACATGAATGCAGAATCTAGGGCACATTATTAAGTTCCCCAAGTCTTGCACAACCCCAGCTTCGCATCTGTTGTAATTACAGCAAAAGTTCCTAGAATCTAAGTAATAATTCTCATGTTCCCGTCATTTTAACTGTACAATGCTGAGCAAATCCCTCTATCTCTTTGGCTCACATATACATGTAAGGATTGTGGTCATAGACCTGAAGGACAGTGGGAGAAAAACTACTGAATTTTATGTTTTCGATATGAAAAGTAAAACTAAAACCTTCCATACACACTGTCCATGGGCTTGGGATTCTGCAGTTCCAAGGAACAGTCATCCACTGTCTGAAGAAGAGTGTGAGTCAGGCAGCATGCTGAAGGATAAGCCAAGCTTCAGGCAGGTATCAGGCAGCTTCCATAATCAACAACTATGTTTCAAAGTTGCATAAAATTCACATTTAGCATGAACTAAGCATTTAATCAGTTCCCCAAGTGTATGTACTCGTATAACCATTGTTAAGACTTCTGCCAAAGCTGCAACACACCAATCAGCTTGCATTGGACAATCAGCCCCATTGCACAAACTTTTTCCATTTTGATCAAGAGTATGGTGGCCAAAATCAGCAAAAAGCTATTGATTTCTCACTACAGTTGGGCTGCATACAAGCACACTGAGATTCTGTAGGTTCAATTTAATCTGGTAGTAAACTACCCTTAATGATTGTTGCATCTTTATTGCTATGTTCTTATATCCCCACAGAGAACAAAGGAGAAAGAGTTCCCAGTTACAGTCAACTCGTATTCAGCTCATGTTGAGTTATTCCAAATGGGGCTGGGGGGTCAGAGGCAGAGCAATTTAGTACATTATTATTACACTATACAGAAATTTTATTTACCTGAGCCAAGAGACATCAAGGATTACTTACTTTTTTCAATCTTTATCCAGACCATATGTCAGCTGGTTGCAAAGTGAGCTTTGCTGGCTGAGTGTTTAGTGAATGTTTCCGAACTTTTTGGCAGCTGTGCTTGTTTTACGCTTAAGTAAGGAACACAGGGAGAAGATTAGGATATCTTTTAGAAGCTGACCTGCAAAGAATTTGTATTAAATTAGTTTCGTCCCACTTTTGTAAAGCCCATAAAGTTTGAAGAAAAAGAGAAGCATTAGGAGTTTTCTTTCCCTCTAGCCCAATTTTCTTTGTAGGTCAGTCCGAACATTAACTGTTAGGAATACCAAACTTGATCTTCTCAACCTGTTTGGCAGACTACTGAGGAGAGGAGGAGTCTCTATTTAGCACAGCTATTGAAAACCCAAGGTATGAGTCACTATATAACATGCTTTAGATTATCACATTATAACTCCCAGCAATTTAGGTGACCTTTAGCTTGTCTCTTCATTTTATCATCTCCTGTGGGCATATTTTCAAACCTGTTCCATAAATCTCGCATCTTTCTTTTACCTA